CAGAGAAGCTTGAAGCACAAGCCTGGCCCTTGGGGCAGATCCCCTCTCTTCCCCAGTTTTTGGATTTGGGATCTTGCGATGTAAGATATATACATCTCTCCTCCCTCGCCAGGGTCAGTTATTGGCAGCAAGGGTCTGCAGGATGGGCAGCCCAGAAGCTCAGGCATCCAGTGACCACTGGCTTTGTTTCTGAGCATCTGGCTGGCAAAAGCCTCAGGTGGACGGCGCGTGCTCCCGTTCAGACCTCTCATCCTGCCCCTTTGCACTGGCCGCCATCACTTGGTCTGCCTACTGGTATTTTCAGGAAGTTGGGCATTGCCGTGGAAATAAGAACATAAGAGAAGCCAATGTTGGGTCAGGCCAGTGGCCCATTCAGTCCCAACACTCTGTGTCACACAGTGGCCAGAAACAGCAGGTGCCATTAGGAGGTCCAGCAGTGGGGCCAGGACACCAGAAGCCCTCCCACTGTTGCCCCACCCAGCACCAAGAACACAGAGCATCACTTGCCCCAGACCGAGAGCTCCTATCTCTATCTTGTGGCTGATAGCCACTGATGGACCTCTGCTCCAGATGCTTATCCAGTTCCCGCTTGTAGCCGCCCGCCACCTCCTCTGGTGGCAGTGAATACCGTGTGCTTTGCTGGAGTGGTGCTAAGAAAAGTCTGGGATGCTCATGGTGACTGGCTCAGAGAAACCCTGTGGGGGCACCTGTCCATGACCTGGGTGGGCAGGGTCAAGGGGATTTCTGGTCTTCCTGGGAGACCCTTGCCACCATCTTTTCCCCCTCGTCACTGGATCAGCTTTCTCAGCCCATGCGCTGTGTGGTAAGACAGGCTGTTCATCCTCTCTCTCTCTCTCTGACCCTCACTTGCTCTGTCTCGCTTTCTCTAAGATTTGGGTGCTGCATGCCACCCTTCAAGGCCTTCTCTTACATAGTCCGCACTGCAGCCAATGTTCCCTCTAAGCTGTGGAGAGTCTTGTGAGCAAAAACTCTACTTTGTGAGCTACTACCGGCGTTAAAGTGGTGAGCCAGCGATTTGGCTGCTGCATAAATTAGTTTGCTCTGGAGCCCTCCTTTCTGAGCTAAGACAAAAATGTGTGAACCTGAGGCTAAAAAGCTGTGAGCTAGCTCACACTAACTCAGCTTAGAGGGAACACTGGTCAAGGGCATTTCTGGTCTTCCTGGGAGACCCTTGCCACCATTTTTCCCCCTTGTCACTGGATCAGCTTTCTCAGCCCATGCGCTGTGTGGTAAGACAAGTTCTTGATGCACTCTCTCTCTCTGATCCTTGCTTGCTCTGTCTCGCTTTCTCTAAGATGCGGCCAATTTGGGTGCCGTATGCCACCCTTCAAGGCCTTCTCTTACGTAGTCCGCACTGCAGCCAATGTTCCCTCTAAGCTGTGGAGAGTCTTGTGAGCAAAAACTCTACTTTGTGAGCTACTACCGGCGTTAAAGTGGTGAGCCAGCGATTTGGCTGCTGCATAAATTAGTTTGCTCTGGAGCCCTCCTTCCTGAGCGAAGGCAAAAATGTGTGAGCCGGAAGCTAACAGACTGTGAGCTGGCTCGCACTAACTCAGCTTAGAGGGAACACTGACTGCAGCACACTTGAATTGCGTCTTCCATGTACACGTCCAGTTTGCATGGTGTTGACCCGGAACCAGAGGGCTTAGGCTCCTGAGAATGGCAAACTGCTGGAAGCAATTCATGATGGAAATGCTTCCACCAGGGCCTGTTGAGGCGGGAGGGGATGGGACGCCGGCAGGAAGAGGCTTCCTGGGGGACATCAGAGACGCCGCAGACTTCTGCCCTGGACGTGACCTTGGCTGGAGGCACCCAGTGAAACCCTTCAGCCCCCCCCCCCCAGGCTTTTGTTCTTCCTGTGCCGCTTAGCTCTGGCTCCTTCAGGCAGGGGATCTTTCCAAAACTAAGGGGTCTTTCTACTTTCAGCATGTTTCAGGGCTTCCCCTGACAAAGGCCGGTGTACCTAGAGATGCAGTAAGCCCTTCCCCTCCTGTGGTGTGCAAAGGGAAGGGCTCTTGCTAGCTTTGGTGGTGCAGAGGCAGAAATGCGACATTCTGTTCACAGTACCTTGGTGTGGAGCGTCATATGGCCGGTGGTTGTACCCGGCCTTCCGACCCGAAGGCTCAGCTTCCAGTCTCCTACTAAGAGCTGAGTGACCCTCACAAGGTCCAACTAGCCACCTTCTTCACTAGAACTCGCCTAGGCCTTTCCCTCCGTTTTGTGATAAAGCTAGAATGCTTTTGGTTCTCCTAAAATCGATTGACTTATGAGCAATGCTCCCTCTAAGCTGTGGAGTGTGAGCAAAAATTCTACGTTGTGAGCTACTGGCATTAAAGTGGTGAGCGAGCGATTTGGCTGCTGCGTAAATTAGCTTGCTCTGGAGCCATCCTTCCTGAGCAAAGACAAAAATGTTTGATCCGGAGGCTAAAAACCTGTGAGGTAGCTCACACTAAGTCAGCTCAGAGGGAACACTGCTTATGAGTCCACTACTTAAAAAGTAGTCTGTAGTTTCGGAATTGGGGCTTTTTTTAGTCTCTAGCAAAATAGCTTATCAGTTATTGGCAGCTATAGGTGTCTTAGATTCAGACAGGTAGCTGTGTTGGTCTGAAGCAATAGAACTAAGTTTGAGTCCCGTGGCACCTTTAACATCAACAAAGTTTAATTCTGGGTATAAGCTTTCATGTGCACATACACAAAAGCTGAAACCCAGAATTAAACTTTTTGGGTCTTAAAGGTGCCACTGGACTCAAACTTCGTTCTGCAGGTGTCTTACTCAGACATAGCATTTTTCATCTCCAGCTAAAGTCAGAACTCTGGCTGAGTTCATACCTAGTGTTTGTTTTTATTTCCTTCTCATCCCTGGTGCGTTCTGCTTCTTTCCATTGTTAAGGTGGCTTAAGGGCCATGACGGGTCATCCTCCCCTGCATGAATTCATCTAGTAACTGGATCTGCAGGAGAACAGAGGCTGACGGCAGGGATCCCAGGGTCCCTCCTGGGGGGGGGGGGGGGTTGCTGTTCGGGTATGCAGAGAAGCAGCATTTTGCCAATTAGCCGTAAAGGGAAAAGAAGGCCTTCAGAAAGGTCCTGATGAGGCCTGGAAAGGCTCCAGAAGGGGAGGGATGCGGAGAGCAGCTGAGAAGAGCCCCTTAAAGAAGAAGGGGGAGGAGATGCCAGCTTGCTCCAGACTCTCAGAGCTTAGGGGATCCTTGAGAAGGAGATGGGGGGGGGGGACTTTCTGGTGCCGCCTTCTGCCTCTCCTAATCTACTGCAAGATCATCTGCGTGTTGTTGTCCTTGGCAGACAGAGAGGCAGCTGGGGGGGGTTTGGCATGTTGGACCTACAACAGATAGCTCACACTTGCGGCTGTCCCCTTCCCCAAAACCTGAAGGGTTCTAGCGCTCTGTCCCTTGCTTCATGCCAGAAACTCTGCCAGCCCCAAACCTGGCAGTGTTGCTGGGGAGAGCTCCGGTGGCTTCGGCAGGTTCTCGTGTGCCTTGCAGCTGCGGCCACCCAGCCACCTCTTCTCCCAGGGAGAATGCCGGAGGCATCCCTGGACCGGCCATCCAGGAAGCCCTTGCAGGTGCGCATCCTGTCTGCATGTCTGCAGTGTCTGCATGTCACCAGAACATCAGAAGAGCCCTTCTGGATCAGACCAGTGAGGGTCCCTCTAGTCCAGCCTCCCGTCTCACACAGGGGCCAACCAGTTCCTCTGGAGGGCCGACAACAGGGCAGAGAGGCCGAGGCCTTCGCCTCATGTTGTCTCCTGGCACTGGTACTCAGAGGCTGACTGCCTCTGAATGTGGAGGTTCCCCTCAGTCACCATGGCTAGTAGCCATGGTGCTAGACTTATCCTCCATGAATCTGTCTAATCCCCTTTTAAAGCTGTCAATTCCTGTGGCCATCACTGGCAGCGAATTCCACATTTCAATCACTCTCTGTGTAAAGTAGTCTTTCCCTTTGTCTGTCCTGAACCTACTGCCCATCAGTTTCATATGCCCTCCAGTTCTAGTATTTGGGGAGAGGGAGGAAAAGTTTTCTTTGTCAACTCTCTCCACCCCATGCATAATTTTATAAAACTCTGTCATGTCCCCTCTTAGTCCTCTCTTTTCTAAACTGAAGAATCCCAGACTCTTCAGCCATCACTCATAGGGAAGGTGCTCCAACCCCTCACCATCTTCGTTGCTCTCCTCTGTACTTTTCCCAGCTCTGCCATGCCCTTTGGGAGATACGGTGACCAGAACTGTACACACAGTATCGCTCCAATGAGGCCATACCATAGATCTACCCAGGGGACATTACAATATCAGCCATTTTATTTGCAGTCCCTTTCCCAATCCTCCCAGTTTGTCCTGGTTCCACTGTGATTGACTTCCTTGGGAAGTGCCTGCTGCTCCCCTGTTTCTGGGGGTGCCCTGCTGAGCTCTGCTGCAGCCAGGCCGGGTCTTGCAGCACTTTGATATCCTGCCCTCCCACCTCTTCCCTCCCACCCTCGATAGAAAGTGAGAGTGAGGACCGTGGAGAAAACACAGAATCCACATAGGAGTAGCATGGCCGGTCTCAGAATCCAGAGAGCGGGAGGACCGGGCGCATGGAGCCTGAAAGGAAATTGACGTCCCATCAACACACCTGTTGCTATGCAAATAAGTTGGGGTTTATATTACTGGCATCGGTGACATGGAACTCCAGCAGGTATTGATTGTAACCTCACCCGGAGGTTTCCAGAACTGAGTGTCCCATGGCTGTAAAAGGGGGAAGCACATAAGAGAAGATCCTTCATCTGAGTGGGCAGTCTCTGGGCTTCTGTTCCCAGCGGGATTCAGGTCCGTGAGCATCGTCCTGTCGTGTGCCCATGTCCTTCTGTTTGGTGAGCAGGAAAGACACCTCCCGGGCTCCCCCCACAGGCCATGCCTGCAGCACTTGGCGCACTCCCCCGCAGGGCAGAGAGCACCGTCCTTTGGAGTGTTTTCCAGGCCGCGGCCCCTTCTTCGCTGGCCTTGCTGGAGAGCCCAGCCTAGGCCCGGAGGGAGTCAGTCTCTCCTCTGGAACAGGCTGCTGTGAGGCCGTCCTGGGTAGACCCACGTGGCAACTGGGGGCAGGCCGGAAGTCTCTGTCTGTCTCTGTTTGGCATGTGTGGCTTTCCCGTCTTCCCTCTCCTCCTGCTTCGCCTCCTCCTTTCTGAGTCCATAACCCGTCTAACTCCGAATTGCCGTCTTCCTGTCTCGGTCTTTACTCTGCAAAGGCCAGAGTGGGAGAAGAAAAGAGTTAGACAAACACACCTGGGACTGCTGAAGAGGCGGCTCCAGGCTCCCAAAAGTGCCTGGTTGGGCAAGAAATGCGGTTGCTTTCTGCCTGGCAAAGAGGCTTCCTAGTGCCCACACCAGCCCGGTTTTCTTGCCCGGCATCCAGTTGTTCCCATTTGTGGGCCCATCTGTTGGCTCAGCAGCCTTTTATCCCCGGCAGCCTGGCCTCCAGCGCAAGCCGACTCTTGGTCAGCATAGCCACAGTTACTCAATGTCTTTGGCCCTGTCGGTCCAGCTTTGCGTGCAGAAATGCTGGAGTCTGGCTTCCGGCGCAGAAGTCAGAGATCAGATGTGGGAAACATACAGTTCCCCTTTAAAAGCCCACAAAATAAGCCGTTAGAATGGCCAGTTAGAACAGCAGCCTTAAATACATCAAGAGTGCAAGGGCTTAAGAACTCTGCAGGCCGCCAAATGTTCTTCTGCCTTGCTACTCCCTGGAAGCGCAGCCCCAACTGCCCCCCCCTTCCTGCTGCTCATCTGTACCCCACAGCTGGTGGCTTTCATGTCCCTGCATTTTGTGAGGATAGAGCAGCCCTTTCCTTGAGCTTTTCAGTCAGTCCAGAAGTTAATTGGCTGGTTGAATTAATCTAAATAGACCAAACAAGCATTTTGGTGCTTTGAAACCTGTTCAGAAACTTGAGCTAGCAAAGAATGCGACAGACAGAATAAAAGTTTATATCCATAATTGAACTTTGTTGGTTTTAAGGTCCCACTGGACCAGTGTTCCCTCTAAGCTGAGTTAGTGTGAGCTAGCTCACAGTTTTTTAGCCTCCGGCTCACACATTTTTGTCTTAGCTCAGGGAGGATGGCTCCAGAGCAAACTGATTTATGCAGTAGCCAAATAGCTTGCTCACAACTTTAATGCCAGGAGCTCACAAAGTAGAATTCTTGCTCACAAGATTCCACAGTTTAGAGGGAACATTGCACTGGACTAAAACATCTCTCTCTCTCTCTCTCTCTCTCTCTCTCTCTCCACCTGTGTTCCCTCTAAGCTGAGTTAGTCTAAGCTAGCCCACAGTTTTTTAGCCTCCGGCTCACACATTTTTTTGTCTTCGCTCAGGAAGGATGTGGCTCCAGAGCAAACTAATTTACGTGGTGGCCAAGTCACTTGCTCACAGCTTTAATGCCAGTAGCTCACAAAGTAGAACTTTTGCTCACAGGACTTCACAGATTAGAGGGAGCATTGCTCTCCATATAAATATATCTACAAGGTGAAACAAATACAGCATCACTGTAAAATGAAAACGGCCGGAAAAGGACGGTAAACAAGTTGTGACTAAGAATAATGTGACGAGAGGGCCAGATTAGAAGCTAGGATAATGATCTGAAGAGGAGCTGGCAAAAAGGAGCTCATAGTGGAACTCTGCATGTTCCCAGGTCGATGACCTCAGTGATCCTGTCAACCAGTTGCTGTTGATCTTTCAAACTCTGATGGTCTTGAACCAGGGGATCTGAGGGAGCCCCCCCCCTATGAACCTGCCTGGCATGGGGTTTCTCGGGGTGCTGGTCTTAGATGAGGTCAGGTTGGGAGAGATGTGGGGAGGGCCTTTTTTAGCCGTGGCCCCCAAGATTTGGAATTCCTTGTCCCAGGAAGCCAGATCCAAACACCTTTCCAGAGAATGCAGAGCGCGGGGAGGCAGAACCTAACCAGGTGCCCAAGTAGTTTGCTGGTTTAGTATTTTCATGATGTCTGCTTTTAATTTTTGAAACTGTTTTAGTTGAGGCTTCAGAACGGGGGTTTTATATTACTTTTGTTTTGATGCTTTTCTATTTAGAGTTTCTGTTTAAATTTTTTATATGCTGCCATAAGTGTCCTTGTAACCCTGTAGGGATATAGTAAATAAAGCAATTTGCAAAGCATTGCCCATCGATTTTGCAGAACTCGCTTGTGGGCCCTGGTCATAGAGATGTCAGTTGTGGGCCACTCACTGCCAACTGCTGCCCGCTGGTGAGGTCCTTTTACAGCCCCCCAGAAGGGTCCCCCTGGGCGAGTGGGGGTCTCTCCAGCAGACCTTCAAAACTGTTGTTCAATGTTCTCTACCAAGGATCCTGTCTCCAATCAGCCCCCTTTTGGCACATCCTCACCCCTGCAGGGGTAGAAATGCTTTGGGACTCATGCCGAAAGGAGTGCAATTGTGTGGGTGCTTTTGCCGCTGCCCCCCCCCCCGCCCCCGGTCCCCCAGCCTGCTGCCCCCTTGCTCTGGGCTTCCAGGCGTCTGTCTGTGAGTGGTGTTGTAATCGGCAGCCTCATCCTTTGTTACAGGGGAGGCAGGGGGGGGGGTGAGCTGAGAAATAGTAAAATTAAATTTCCCAGATGTTCAGGCCCCAGGAGTTCTCTTGCTGTCTGGAGAGGAAATGGGGATTCGGAAAATCCCGCCTCATATTTTTCCCCCTATCACCTTGCCTTTCCGCTGCCATTAAGTTAAGCAGGAACAGTAAATTAGGGGGGTTTGGAGCAGCCCATCTTCTACAGAGGGGAGGGGACAGGAAATGGTCTCATTCAGCGCCACGGCTGGCTTCCAGGTGCCCACCTACTG